TCCCCCTCCCCCTCCCCTTCCCTTCTTTCCATCTTTTTGAGATAGGGTCTCTGTAGCCCTGGCTGACCTGGAACTCTGTAGACCAGGCTGGCTTCAATCAGATCCACCTGCCTTTGCCTCCAGAGTACTGGGATTAAAGGTGTACACCACCAGCTAGCCTCAAACCCCTGATCCTTTCTGGTACTGGTACTACAGGCTTCCACCGCCACACCTGGCTTACTTTGAACCCTGTTTTACAAATGAGGAAACAATCCTTAGAGAAATTCATCAACATGCCTGGAGTCATACTTGGGCAACTGGCCTGGGCAGGATCTGAACCTGTAACCCTAGGTCCAGGTTATAACCACTCTGCGTCTCTGTGGTGGCTTATCCCTCTTTCTCCCTTTTTGACACCCTTGGGCAGTGGGCTGCCTCTGGGGTGGACCCCATAACCGTTTCCCCTCCTCATGTTGCAGGCAGCCAGTGAGTATTGTATACGCCTCCTCCAAGGATCCTGCCAAGCCAAAGGGAAGTTCCAAGTTGGATGTGAATGAGGAGGTGGAGGCGCTGATTGTCAAGTCCCCGCAGAAGGAGCGGGACCCCTCCCTGTTCAAGGTGTTATACAAGACCTTCGGGCCCTACTTCCTCATGAGCTTCTTCTTCAAGGCCATTCATGACCTAATGATGTTTGCTGGGCCTGAGATCCTGAAGTAAGGGTCCTTCCTGGCTGCCTGGCTCTCCTTGGCCACCTGGGCCATTCTGCTGTGTGCTGCACCTGCAGCCTCCATCTTCCCCCCGCTCTGCTCTCTGCTTTGCTCCGTTAACACCTGAGTTTCAGTCACTTTGGTTGCAAGTCATAGAAACTCCCTGAATCCAAAACGAGGATGTGGGGCTGTCATGGGAAGCCAAGAGCAAGGATGCAGGCAGATCTCAGGAGCAGTGCAACTGGAGACCAGGGAGGTAGCCCCTAGCTCTTGCCCTGCTTAATGGGGCCTCGGTTCCTTCTCTCCTCCACCTTTGTCCCAGTGTACTCTGTGTGGCCTTTGGGTGACTTGCTAGTAGGGGGACAGAGCTGACAGTTTGGGGATCCCAAGGCAGAGGCCCCTGTTGTAAGAGACTGGCACCTGGCAGTCACATATGAGGTAGAATGTCATCCAGCTTCCCCTGGTGCAGGTGGAAATGGCCACACTGACCTGAAAGTACTTTCCCCTGTTGGTGTGTCACACTTAAATCCTCCTGGGCTCTCTCCTTGTCCCCTGACAGATTGCTCATCATCTTTGTGAATGACACAGAGGCCCCTGACTGGCAGGGCTACTTCTACACAGCGCTGCTGTTCGTCAGCGCCTGCCTGCAGACACTGGTCCTGCACCAGTACTTCCACATCTGCTTCGTCAGTGGCATGCGCATTAAGACAGCTGTGGTGGGCGCTGTGTACCGCAAGGTAGGGCAGGTGCCCACACTCTGACCAGCCACCTCAGAATTTGGGAAGGCTGGGCTGGGGTTCTCCAGGACCAGGTGGGGATTTCTGGCCCAGTATCCACAGCAAGAGGGGTGGAGGCTACAGGGAGCATGGGGCCAAGGTTGGCCCCCAGCAGGCCGTGTCCTTCAGCAAAGTGGCTCTCAGGGATGATGTGTGAGATGTATGTGAGCCCACGTGTCACGTGTGGGAAACTGGGTTTCTTAGATAACCTGATTATCTTTGAGGGGGTGGGGTGATGGGAATCCAAGTTCAGGGACTGGGGAGGTCCAAGCATGAGGACCTGTCTCAGAACCTATGTAAAGCCAGGTGAGGGAGCTCACACTGTAATCCTAGCACTCCTGCAGTGAGCTGGGAGCGGGCAGGGAGACAGGAAAATCCCTAGAAGCTGACGAGCCTACTAGCTGGGTCTGCAGCACCCATGAGACCTTGCCTCAGACAAGGTAGAAGACAGAATTGCTGGAAGTTGTCCTCTGGCCTCCTGCACGTGTGTTATTGACAGGCATGTATCCACACACACAACACACCATACACATGCATACGCTCATTCACACAGAGATTTTTTAATGTCTCATAATTAATTCCGTGTCCTGGGTTTTGCCTTACTCTTATTTTGGAACTGAACTAAGCGGGTCGTATGTATCTCCCATGATGGGGTCTGTATGCACACATCCAGCTTTATTTATTTTTATATTATTCATTATTAATTTTTTTTTATTTTTTTATCTTTTTGAGACAGGGTCTCCCTGTAGCCCCAAGCTGTCCTGGAACTCACTTTGTAGACCAGGCTGGCCTTGAACTCACAGAGATCCACCTGCCTCTGCCTCCCGAGTGCTGGGATTAAAGGCGTGCGCCACCATGCCCCGCTTATTCTTCATTATTTTTATTTTATGTGTATGAGTGTATTGCAAGCGTGTATGTAAATGTACCCGTGTCATGCAGTGCCCATGGACATCTGAGGCATTGGATTCCTCTGAAACTTGTTATGGACAATTGTTAGCCACCACATAGGTGCTGGGAATCAAACCCAGGTCCTCTGCAAGAGCAGCCAGTACTCTTAACTGCTGAGTCATCTCTCTAGCCCCACACATCCAACTTTAAAGAGTTTTGTTTATCTACTTTGGGAGGGTTTGCACATAACTGGCAGGGACTGTCCTACATCCAGCTTTAAAGAAACCAAATGACTGTCCTAACCTCATGTCCTAGCTTCTGAGGTAAGGTGACACCTGGCCCTGGGGCTGGGAAGAGAGAGGCCAACCCCTGTACTTCTCACCCTCAACAAGTTAGACTCATCTGCTCAGTCTGAGCCCTGGGGTCCTGGCAGCATCCTAGACCAGTGGGACTTATTGTGTTCAGTCTGTTTTTAAGACTCCCAGGTGACAATGTGCAACCATATTTGAGAAGTGGTATCCTAGATGTGGGGTCTCCAGTAGAGCCACTTGCCCCTGAGACCTTCAGAGACATTTGGGTGTCACATCTGGGGGTGGGGACATTTAGTGGGTAGATGCTAGAGAGTGAGCCAAACATCTCACAGTTAGTGCACAGCTTGGTCACACGCAGCACTGTCCACCCCCAGTGGCAGGAAATCAAGACTAAAAACCATTGGCCTTGACCTTTTTGGTTGTTGGAATCTAGAACCAGCGGCATGACCTTGGAGCTTGTTAAAAATCCAGAATCCTAGCCAGCCCCATCCCCTCCCCACCTCTCAGGTGACTGAAGTATGCAAGGCCTTGGCTTAGGAGGCCTCTGAGGCTCCTTCCACATGGAACAGCTTGGGATGAGGAGGAAGGGAGGTAGATACACCTGGTGTGTGCTGACCTGGAAGGATCAAGAAGACAGATCCGCCAGTGAGGGAGGATAAAGCTTGTGGAGTTACACCATTGAGAGCCTTCTCCAGGGCCTGGGGGGAAAGTCAAGGTCACCCTCAGGCTCATGTCTTCCTGTCTTCTGTTCCTCAGGCCCTTGTCATCACCAACTCAGCCAGAAAGTCCTCCACAGTCGGGGAAATCGTCAACCTCATGTCAGTAGACGCTCAGCGCTTCATGGACTTGGCCACGTACATTAACATGATCTGGTCAGCCCCTCTGCAGGTCATCCTTGCCCTCTACCTCCTGTGGCTGGTGTGTTTACCTTCAGTCCCCTTTCTATGTGGGCACGGGGGGAGGGAGCTGGTGGGTGGTGTCATTTATAATTTATTTTCTGGTTTATTCGTTCCTGGTTATTTTATTCCCTCCTGGAGTTGTCAGAGTTGTGTTCTGTTTTGGTGGCTTGGTTTGCATTTGTCTTTTGTGTATCAGTGGTGGTGGTGGTGGTGATTGTGTGTGTATGTGTGTGTGGTATGCACATGTTCATGTGGGCGTATGGAAGCTGGAGGTTGGCATCCAGTCTCTCCATCTTTTTTTTTTCTCTTTATTATTTTTGTTTTATGTATATGCATGTATTTCTTGCATGTATGCAAGTGCATCCCTTGGAGGACAGAAGAGGGCATTGAATCCGGGAACTGGAGTTGCATGTGGTTGTTAGCTGCCATGTGAGTGATGGAATTTGAATTCGGGTCCTCTGCAAGAACAGTCAGTGAGTGCTCTTAACTACTGAGCCACCTCTCACTGTTCCTTACTGAACCTGGGCTCACTGATTTGGCCAGACTAGCTGGTCAGTGAGCTCTAGACCTGTCTCTGCCCCATCCCTAGCACTGGGATCACAGGTATACACTGCTATACCTAGCTTTTATGTGTGTGCTGGGGATGAAACACAGGTCCTGATGCATGTTACCAACTGAGCCATCTCCCCAGCCTTTCATTTGTCTCCCTCCTTTTAAATATTTTGAAAATTATTTTGTGTGTGTGTGTGCACGTGCATTCATGCCACGGCATGCATGTGGAAGTCGGAGGACATCTTGCTGGAGTCAGTTTTTTCCTCCACCATGTGGGATCTAGGGATTGAACTCAGGTCTCAATGCTTGTGTCACAAGTGTCCTTACCCATTTTGCCATTTCACCATTTTCTTTTGTTGATTTTGGTTTGGTTTTGTTTTTCGTTTTGAGACAAGGTCTCCCTGTAGCCCTGGCCTACCTGGGACTAGCTGTGTAGACCAGGCTGGCCTCCATCTCACAGCCTGCCTCTGCCTCCCCAGTGCTGGGGTCCCAGGCTCATACCTCCGTGCTCAACTGCATTAGTCTTCTTTTCCTGGAGTGTGTGTGATTAACAACCCTGTACCATCTTTCTCCCATTGTACCTCCTGAAGTGTGAGCCAGACTTATTCATTAGAACCTAATTATATTGGCAAGTCTCTCAGTTGTAAGAAATAGAAATCTGTCTTATCCCTGGCAGACAAAGGGAATTGGTGGGTGGGGGGAGGGGTGCTTGTACCTTAGGAACCAGATGGAGGCTCAGGTCCCCTCTGTGTGCTGACCCTGAAGAACTACCTCCCAGAAGACTCTACCACAGTGATGCTAGTCTCTTGTTACTTACAGCTGATTTTTCAGCCCCAGCTAACCAGCATCAATTGTCCCAGTAAAGCAAAGGTTTTGCTTCAGGTTCTGGTCTCTTAATCACAGCTGATTCTTCAGCCCCAGCCAGAACCCACAAATTGTCAATCCAAAATCTCACACGAACAGCCCTGATGGTCTCCACTTCCCTTTGAAGCTTCACAAGCCAGGCCTCCATTGTTCGCAACTCTTTCAACATAACTGTTGCAAGCTCCACAGCAACAAACTCTAAGCACGCAATGGCTTTTCCAGCCTAAAGTTCGGAACACTTCCACAATCTTCCCAAAAAAATCCAGGTCAGGTCTGTCACAGCAATATCCCACTCTCTGGTACCAATTTCTGCCCTAGTTTGTTTCTCCATTGCTGTGACAAAACACTCTGACCACTACCAACTTGGGGAGCAAAGGGTTTATTCAGCTTACATCTCCCAAGTCACAGTTCATCCGGGAGCCCAAGGTAGGAACTCAGGGCAGGAACCTGGAGGCAGGAGCTTAAGCACAGGCCATGGAGGAATGCTGCTTACTGGCTTGCTCCCCTGGCCCCTGCTCAACCTGCTCTCTTATCCAACACAGGCCCGCAGCGGACTGGGCCCTCCCACATCACTCAACAATTAAGAAAATGCCCCACAGACATGGCCACAGGCCAGTCCAATGGGGGCAATTCCCCAATTGAGGCTCCCTCAACCCAGGTTTGTCAAGTTGACACTAAAGCTATCCAGCACAGAGGCAGAGGTACACACTTGGCTCATGTGTGCCCCTTCTGCCTCTGGGCCCCACACATGCCTTTCCTTCCAACCGGGTAACCCTTCCTCTTTTCTTCCTGGATGGATCCCAGCCAGGCTTTTTGATTGCTAGGCAAGCACTCTACCACTGAGCTACATCCCCAGCTTAAGGAATTACTTCCTGACTCACACCTGATTCTCACCCCATCCTCGGAGGACCTCCTCCTGTTTTCGTGTGTGTGTGTGTGTGTGTGTGTGTGTGTGTGTGTGTGTGTGTGTGTGAGAGAGAGAGAGAGAGAGAGAGAGAGAGAGAGAGAGAGTGAGTGAGTGGGCTGTGTATGCCACATTGTGCATGGGGGTCAGAGAACAGCTTTGGTGATATTCCTCAACTTCCCCCTTGCTTGAGACAAGCTCTCTTTGCAGCTATGTATGCTAGACCAGCTGGCCTACGAGCTCCAGGATTCTGCTGTCTCTGCCTCTCACCTTGCCTTAGGAGTGCTGGGATCACAGATGTGTGCTACTGTGCCCAGCTTTACATGGGCTCTGGCGATCTGAATGCAGGTCCACACACTTACAGGGCAAGTATTTTACCTACTGAGCCATCTCTCCAGCTCTTTCCGGATTGGTTGGGCTTCTGTTGTTGCTGTTGTTATTTTGTTTAGTTTTTCTCTTCCTTTTTGAATCCCAGTATCTTTGGCACAGGAACCAGTTTGATAACTTTCTGAGGTAGTTTTCTACACTTGTGATGTAATTAGCCCCAAGCTGGTGGATGTTAGCTGCTCATGGACAGACAGCACTGGTATTTTTACATCTCTTGGGGGTGCAGAATCCAACCACAGTGTAGGAACCCAGGAAATTATCCGTTGATCTGCTGTTGTATTTGTGCACACATGCACATGCACATGTATACGTGTGCCACAGTCAGAGGACAACGTGTGAGGGTTGGTTCTCTCCTTCTACCACATGGGATCCGGGGATTGAATTCAGGTTATCAGACTTGGTGGAAAGCGCCTTTACCTCCTGAGCCATAGCGCCAGCCTCATTATTTTGCATAGAGAGGAGTGATGAATTAAATGCTTCTGAGGATGAAATTGAGAATGAAAAACACCAGACCAGACGCAGGGCCTCACTCATGCTGAGCACACCCTGCACGCCACATCCCTGGCCCCAAGCACCAGAATTGAAATTTGAAAAAAACTCTTTAGGCAGATAACATAGAGTGTGCACTTTCCTAGGGACTGTTGTCCAAGGCAGAACAAAGTTTGGAGCACTTCTTTGAGAGTTGCCCTCGGTTGGTTTATGAATATTAAGGAAAGGAGGCTCTGACTTGGAAGTCACCTAGGCCGCATAGCCAGACCCCGCCTCAGAAAACAGAAAGGAAAATTGGCTGGGGAGATGGCCCAGTGGGTAGAAGTGCTTGCTGTGCAAGCATGAGGATCTGAGTTTGAATCCTCAGCACCCACAGGAAAAAGGTGGGTGTGACTGTACTCATGCCTGTGAGCCCCAGCACTGGGGAGCGCGGACAGAGACAGGAGGAACTTGGGTTTGCTGGATGCCAGCCTCCCTTCAGGTTCAGTGAGGGACTCTATCCTAAAGGAACAAGGCAGAGTGGTAGGACAGAATACCTGAAGAGGCTCTTTAGCCTCTTGGCGCACACACACACACACACACACACACACAGACACACAGACACAGCATATACACATACATTGTACACTATACACATACAGTACACACCACACACACAGTACGTATGCCCCCCCAATACATTGTACACTACATATGCCACACACACAACATACATGCCACACACTACACACACAATATCCACACACACCCCACCCCCCACACATACAAAAGAAAACTACTTTCACCTTTTTTTTTTTTTTTTCTTCTCTTTTCTGAGACAGGGTCTCCCTGTAGCCCCAGCTGACCTGGAACTCACTATGTAGACCAGGCCTAACCTTGAATTCACAGAGATCCTCCTCTGCCTCCCAGAGTGCTGGGATTAAAGGCGTGCGCCACCACACCCAGCTTCACATCTTCTTATACCCATCCAGGGCTGGGTAATTATGTATTTAGGGGTGTCCAGTACATGGTAGGGTACTTAGTAGCCTCTCTGACCCTCTTCTAAGTGCCAGGACCACTCCAGGCATTGCTGGCTGACTCTTGCAGGGCAAATTGTCAGGATCCACTGCTGAGCCCAAAAGCGGGATCCCTGTTTTCAGACCATCAGCCCCATGGTGGAGCTGGCTAACTCTGGAGCTAGGATACACATTTTGAGCTCTCTATCCTTGGGAGTTTTGTTTTATTCTTTCCCCTACAAGAATGTTTACTGCAATAGTATGAAAGCAGAGTTTTATAAATGGCCTCAACATCCTGAAGTGGCGAGTTGACTGAGTAGAGGCCTGTGATCACTGGGAGACTGAATATATGTTAAAAAGTTATTATAAAATTATATTTCCTAATATATTACTACTGTGTGAAAAAGCAGTGATTTGGGCTAGAGAGACTGTTCAGCAGTTAAGAGCCTCTTGCAGAGGACCCAAGTTTGGTTCCCAACATCCACATGGCAGCTTATGACTGCATATAACTCCAACTCCAGGGGATCTGATGCCCTCTTCTGGCCTCTGCTGCCATCAGCATTTGACACACAGACATGCATGCATATGTATAATTTTTTAAGTATTTAATAAGAATATATTAAATTCATTAAAAATTGGGTTTGTGGGACTAGGGAGATGGCTCAGTCTATAAAGTACTTGCCATGCAAGCATGAGGACCTAAGTTTGATCCCTATAACCTACATAAAAAAACCCACATTATGGGACTGGAAAGATGACTCAGTGGTTAAGAGCTCTGGCTGCTTCTGCAGAGAACCCAGGTTCAATTCCCAGCACCCACATGGCAGCTAACAGCTGCCCACAACTCCAGTTCCAGGGGATCTCATGCCCTCTTCTGACCTCTGCAGGCATTGCATGACATGGATGCACTTACATACATTCAGGCAATACACTTATACATACGGAATTAACAAAAAAAAAAAACCCCACATTACAACTGTGGTGGCACCTGCTTGTAATCCTAGAGCTGGGGAGGCAGAGACAAGCAGATAGATCACTGGGGCTCATTGCCAGCTAGCCTGCTCAGCAAGTTCCAGGCGTGTGAGAGACAGACCATATCAAAAACAAGGTGGATGGCGTCCTGAGGAATGCCACCTTTGAGTCATTAAGATTAGCAATAATCCATCAAGCTGTGGGGTTAACTGTTTTATGCCAGGCATTAGGGCTTTTTCTGAGATGCCGAAGTTCTGATTTGCATACCTTACCTGGTCCCCAAGGACTTCTGATAAGTTTTTTTTTTTTAATTTTTTAAATTTATTTTTATTTTATGTGTGTGAGCATATTGCCTGGATGTATGTAAGTACACCCATGTTGTGCAGTGCCCATGGAGGTCAGAAGAGGGCATCAGATCTCCTAGAACTGAGTTACAGATGGTTGTTAGCCACTATGTGGTCCTCTGCAAGAGCAGCCACTGTGCTTAACCACTGAGCCATCTCTTCAGCCCTGTCCTGCAGAGTCTTAAAAGGGTTGGGAGGACTCCAAGACTGAAAACTCCTGACACCCCATCTTTGGGTAAAAGGAATAAATTCACCAGGTCTGGTGGCTTATGCCTTTTAATCCCAGCACTCGGGAGGCAGAGGCAGGCAGATCTCTGTGAGTTCAAGGCCAGCTTGGTCTACGTAGCAAGTTCCAGGCCAGCTGGGGCTGCAGGGAGACCCTGTCTGAAAAAGACCAAAAAATTATGAAGAAATTCAGCAAAACCAAACTTGCCGTGTGGGGTCCTAGAGTGCAGAGGCCAGCCAATAAAGCTAGGGCCCAAGGTCTCTCCTGTTTGCAGATGGCTAAATATCACCTCTCTTTTCTCAGAACCTGGGCCCTTCAGTGTTCGCCGGGGTGGGAGTGATGATCCTCATGATACCCTTCAATGCAGTGATGGCCATGAAGACCAAGACCTACCAGGTAGGGTGTCTGTCTCCACAGTGCCCAGCCTAGACCTCCCTCAGACCTTTACAAAGGAGACCTACCCAGCCTCCTTCTGCCCAGGCCTGGGACTGGCAGCCTCATCTGTTTTAGGTGCTGTAACCCAGGACACTGCCAACCTCAGTATTTCCACAGGCTTCTCAGAGGACAGCCATCATCAGTACTCCAGAGTTGGTCAGAGCAGGTGGCCAGAGACTCAAAGACAGTGATGGGGAGCCTGCCTGCCTGCCTCCCACCTTTCCTCCTCCCACCTTCCCCCCACCTCCCTCCTTTCTTCCTAACTTCCTTCTGTGGATTTACTCAGTTTTCATGTTTGTTTCCAAGAGTGGAGTAAGGGGCTGGGGCACAGCTTAGAGGAGAGCACCTGCTTAGCATGAGAAAAGACGAGTTCTAGACCAAGGAAGCAAAGTAATTACTGTTTCTCACTACTAGTCCCTTGTTCTGTGCAGAGCTAAACTTTATTTTTGACAGCTACTTTGTATTTTTACTTATTTTTATTTTATGTGTATAAGTGTTTTGCTTGTATGTATGTAAGTGCACCATGTGCATATGCAGTGCTGGTGGAGCCCGGAAGAGGTATTAGATCCCCTGGAACTGGAGTTAGGGATGGTTGTTATCTGGGATGCTTGTTAGCTGCCATGCGGGTGCTGGGAACCGAACCTGTGTCCTGTGCAAGAGCAGTCAGTGCTCTTAAACACTGAGCCAGCTCTCCAGCCTGCTTTCTATTTTTTAAGTCTTTAAATGCACAGCCACAGAGTAAATGCTTTTTCTTCAAGAAATTTGAAATTACACAAGACAGTGGTTAGGTGATACTACCCCATCTCATGCCCTCTCAGCCACTGTGAACACTCTGCATCCTTCTAGAAATTTCTTTTATTTCTTTTTTTTTTTTTCCCCCTTCTATTAGGGTCATGTAGCTCAGACTGCCCTCTAACTCCCAGTTCTCCTCCCTGAAGCCTCTCAAATGCTGGGATTCCATGTTTGTACCACCAAGCCTGGCTTCACTTTTAGAACTTTTTCAACATTTATTTCAATGAACTGTATAATTAGGCTTGATATATATTTATACTTTTGCTTTTTTTTTTTTTTCGGTCTTTTTGAGACAGTGTCTCCCTATAGCCCCAGCTGTCCTGGAACTCACTATGTAGACCAGGCTGGCCTTGAACTCACAGAGATCCGCCTGCCTCTGCTGGGATTAAAGGCGTGCATCTCCACGCCCAGCTACTTTTGTGATTTTTTTTTTGTGACATGATTACTGTGTTTATTTTTGTTCAATGGCACTTGTGGTGGTAAGACTTTATCCTTTGACCCCTGTGCCTGAGGCTCCTTCCGTGCTGTGTCGTGGGTTCTGAATCTGTGTTCTTGAACTGCCCAGTGGTCCAGAGAGAGTTGTCTGCCCTTTGCTGGGCTTTGCTCTGTCCTTGGCTGTACTGAGAGCCGTCAGGGAAAATGAGCTCTAATCCTGATTGCAGGGGCAGTCCTATTATTCATGCACAGTGGAGCAGGCCAATCAGAAGACTGGGGGAGTTGGGGGTGGGCGCTGTGGCCTTTTGTCCCTGAGTGGCTCACCTCCAGAACTGTTCCCATCTCTGCCTTCAGTTCTAGTTACGGGCGGTTCCCTGGTCTGTGACCAGGGCTGACCACAGCATGGGGTTGACTGAGCGTGGCATAGCTGCGTGGAGCAAAATACTCAGAAAACTGACTACCAGGGGAAAGTGCCAGATGGTCTTAAAACTATTTAACAACCATACACCATGCACATTGCTGGTCAGAACCAGTGCCAGCTGGTCCTGGCACACTGCAGTATTTCATGACCATACAGTGGCTGAAAACCAGTTAAGAGAGTAAGAAGTTAACAGGTGGTGGTGGTGGTACACACTTGTCACTCCAGCATGCAGAAGGTTGAGGCAGGAGGATTGGGAATTCAAGGCTAGCCTTGGCTACATAGTAAGACTCTGGAAAAAAGAAAGATGATAGACAAAGAGTGAGAAAAAGAAAGAGGGGAGAAGAGGGCGGGGAAGGGAGGGAGAGAAAAATCCCATCTCCCCTGATGTGTCAGTAGCCCAAGGCCGGCATCTCTTCTGTGACACCTGGAGGTCTTTGTCCCCTCCTCCCTCAGCTGAGTTGGTTTCTCTAGAGTCGAATCTAACCCAATTTTGAAGTAGTTTGAGCTTTTGTGACGGCCGACTCCTTTGACATGTTCCAGGGGCTGATAGTATGGCCATAGGGGTCCAGGAACAGCCCTCCACCTCTGGGTAGAGCCATTTCTAGTAGCAGATGACACTGCTGAGGGACGTGACAGCAGGGCCCAGAACATGTGGTGTCCTCATGCTGCTGACTGCCCCTCTCCCCACAGGTGGTGCACATGAAGAGCAAAGACAACCGCATCAAGCTCATGAATGAGATCCTCAACGGCATCAAAGTGCTCAAGCTGTACGCCTGGGAGTTGGCATTCAAGGATAAGGTCATGGCCATCCGGCAGGAGGAGCTGAAGGTGCTGAAGAAGTCCGCCTACCTGGCTGCCGTGGGCACCTTCACATGGGTCTGCACACCTTTCCTGGTGAGTGGGGCTATGTGTATCCTGGGGATGTTCTTATGTTTTCTTCTCCTTCCATGCCTAATTAAAAAATTTTTTAAGTTCCCAGCACTCGGGAGGCAGAGGCAGGTGGATCTCTGTCAGTTCAAGGCCAGCCTGCTCTACATAGTGAGTTCCAGGACAGCTGGGGCTACAGGGAGACCCTGTCTCAAAAAGACCAAAACAAAAAGTTTTTTTAAGTTACATTTATCCATTTATTTATTTGTGTGTGTAGCGGGGGTGCATGCTACAGTACCTGTGTGGAGGTCAGAGGATAGCTTGTGATTCCCTCCTACCACGTGGTCCCAGGAATTGAACTCAGCTTGTCAGGCTTGGCAGCAAGTACCTTTACATGCTAAGCCATCTTGCCAGCTCATGAATATTTTTTATTAAAGGTCATTATTTGAAGACTGGGTAGAGCTCAGTGGTGGAGTGTGTCTAAGGTGTAAGGCTCTGGGTTCTGTCCCCATCACCACAAAACAAAACAAACTGGCTGTAGTTCAGCAGGGTCTTCTGGATCATTCTTCTAAGATTGACACCCCTGCCCCTTTTCAGTCACAGCCCTTAGCACCTCCCAGGTAGCCAGTCCAGGAGCTGTTTGGAGCATGTTACTGTGACTAAGGAGTTGACACCAGAAGGGGAGCCAGTGTTCTCTGCTCCCTTTATTGAGTAACTTTTAAAGACCAAGTGTGTTAGGCTGAGGTAACGGTGCAGCTGGCTTTGCCATGCAAGTATAAGAGCCTGATTTGATCCCTTACAACCTGTGTTAAACAACAAAACCAGCCTGGAGTGGCAGCTAGTGCCTACAGTCACAGCACTGGAGGTGGAGACAGGCAGGTCCCTGGTGCTCCCTGGCTGGCCAGTCTAGCCTACTTGGTGAGTTCCTGGCCTGTGACAGACTGCCTCAAAAACAAGAAGGGGGGTGAGGACAGTGCCTAAAGAATGACAGTCACGTTTGTCCTCTGGCCTCTCCGTTCACCCATATACATGCATCTGCACATACCTAAATACACTCAATACACACACACACACACACACACAGCATTAGCTGAACCAAACGCTCATGTGGTGCCATTAGACCACACAGCTCAACTCCTTCTTATTACCAGCTGATCACAGGTGGTGGCCTGTCGGTGGCCTGAGGAACACTTGTCCAGTGGTGCTGCCAAACACATTCTAAAATTATCATTTGTTTATCATCTATCTGGAATGTCAGCTGTGGGAGGGCGGGGCTTGTCCTCTTTGTGGACGGCCTGTGTTCTCAATGCCTCAGATGGTACGAGCCGACACTTATCCTATTACTATTGCTCACTTGAAAAATGTCCAGATCCTAAGAAAGGTCTAAAATGTGAACACATATGACCCCCCGGCCCCCTATACTTGATGTGTCATTTGTCTAATGGGACAGATTTGTGTATCTTCAGAAAACAGGTATTTAAAAAATATTTTTATTGAGGGGGCGGGCTGGAAAGATGACTCAGTGGTTAAGGTGCTTGCTGCTCTTTCACAGGACTAAGTTTGGTTCCCAGCACGTACACCACATGACTACTCCAGCTCCAGGTGACCCAGACATCCTCTTCTGGACTCCAAGGGCATTGGCACTCATGGACATACACACAGACATACACACAGACCCATAAATATTTTAAATTCTTTAATAAAAAAATCAATTAATTAATTAAATGTGAATTCTAGTCTGTGGCAGTCTGTAAAAAGGTGGGTGCCATATTGGGAGCTGGACCATCCTTGGACTGGCATGCTTTCCTGAAGATTAGACTACTTGCTGGGATAGCCTGCCCACAGTGTGACCCGAAGTCTGTCCCATCACCTGCCTAGGTCTGGGCTTCCTCTTGTGAACATGGAAGGATTGTCACACACCTGACCCTGCTGTCCCCTCTCCCACTCACAGGCAGATATCTATAGTCAGTCACAGCGTTTGGCTCGGCATCCTTGCAGGGACTGTGGTCTCAGGACTAGAGTTGGCTCAGGTGATGGCACATCTTTGCTGTCTTGGCATTGGCATTTGTGCTGGGGAGGGAAGCAGTTCTACTTTGTAACGCAGCAGTGTCCCCACTCTCCCCTGGGACTACCAACCTCTGTGAAAGTGAAAGTGATGTGACACCCAATGGTAGTTAGACAAGGATTCATCCTATTGCTGTTATTGTTGTTTTCTCATGTGTAAGTGTGTGTGTGTGTGTGTGTGTGTGTGTGTGTGTGTATGAAAGAGTTCACATGAGTGTGGTTGCACATGTTTTCGTGGAGATGCAGGGCTGATGTTGGGAGTCTTAAATCCCTCTCTACCCTGTTCATTGAGGCAGAGTCTCTCTGTTGAACCCAGACACAGCTAATCTTGCTAGTCAACTTGCTCTTGGAATTCTGCCTCCACCTTCTGAGTGCTGGGATTACAGATGCTATGCACACTTGGTATCTTTATGTAGGTTTTACGGATCTGAACTGGTTTTCATGCTTGCATAGCAAGCACTTTGCCCATTGAACCATTTCCCTAGCCCTGTTTTTTAAAATTTATTTTCTGTGTAATGAATGTTTTGTCTCATGTGTACCATATACGTGCAATGTCTGCAGAGGCCAGAAGGGGGCATTGGGTCCCCTGGAACTGGAGTTATGAATGGTTGTTAGCCACCATATCGATGTTGGGAGTTGATCCTGGGTCCTCCGCAAGAGTGGCCAGTGCTCATAACCTCTGAGCCATCCCTCCAGCCCCCTGCTATTTTTTTTTTTTTTGAGACAGGGTCTCACTGTGTAGCCCAGGCAATCCTAGTAGTGCTGCTTTAGCCTCCCACTGGCTGGGCTCAGAGGCATGAGCTGCTGTTCCCTGCACACTTTTACTTCACTGTACTTCACTAGTGCTGTTCTGTGGTGTTGGGGATGGAACCCAGAGCCTCGTGATTGCTAGGCAAGTGCTCTCCTCTGAGCTACAGATGCAGCTGTGCATTTCATTCCAGAAGCGGGTAGCCATGTGCGATCATGGGAAGCAGGCAGCCCCAGGTGTGGTCAGCATGGAACACAACTTGCCACAGACCTCCTGTGCTTGCAAAATGCAGAGTAGTCTCCTTTGCCTTCCCATCAGACACCAGGTTGTCCTTTGCTGCCCTCTCTGTTTATGACCATCAAAAGTGTCCACAGTGGGCTGGGGAGATGGCTCAGTGGGCAGAGTGTTTACTGCACAAGCCTGAGGACCCGCGTTCAGTCAGATCCCTAGCACCTGTATAAAAAATGGGCTCAGTAGTTTCTATCTGTAATCCCAGTCTAGGGAGATAGAAAAATGAGGGTCCCTGGAGCTCATTGGCAACCAGTCTAGCCAGTGGATGAGTTTCAAGCTCAAGAGAGACCCTGTCTTAAAAGATAAGGCGGAAAGCAACTGAGGAAGACACCTGACATTGACGTCTGGCCTCCATAGGCATACTTATGCCTACACATGAACACACACATCACACACTCATACACATGTGTATATCTCTATATATCTATAGCTATACAAACACACACACACACACACACACACACACACACACAATTGTCAGCAGTATTATGGGTGCAGCTCAGTGACAGAGCACTTGCCCAGTGAACTCAAGGCCCTGGGTCTGATCTTCAGTTCTGAATACACAAATGCCTGCAGATGTGGGCTGAGAGGTCCCTCATGGAGGCCCTGTTCTCTTTCCTCATCCTGTTATCTGGCTCTTCTCCCTGCATCAGCGTCTGCTTGCTTCTAGGGAGTGCATCTCTACCAGTGGTGCACCGACCCATGTGGTCACACCTCACATCTCGTTCATTTCCCTTTTACACACTGGTGGAGGGTGTTTCAGACACTGTATTGACAGGCAGGGCTGTGCTCTTCATTCCTTCCCTGGTTTCCATTCCCTCCCTGGTCTCCCATCCCTTCCTGGCCCCCCTTCCCTCCCTGGTCCCCATTCTGTCCCAGGTCTCCATTCCCTCCCCCCATTCCTTCCCTGATCTCCATTCTAAAAGAGGGCAGGAAATACTTAAGGGGAGGCTTGGTGTTCTTGACCTCTGAACTTGACACTGAGTTTCCAGCTTTGGCTGTGACAAAAGTCCTGACAGAGGCAACTTCATGGAGGAGGGCTTAGCTTTGAGTCACAGGTGCCAGTTCACTCTGGTGCCAGTGGTGCTGCTGGTGGCAGGAGCTGGTAGAGTGGCTTACTCACACCTTGATGGATATGGAAGCAGAGGCAGACAGGAAATTGAGCCAGGCTGTAATCTAGAAGGCCTGTTTTAGCAGCCTCTATCCCCAGCCAGGCCTTGTATCCCAAAGATTCCACTGCCTCCCCAAACAGCACCACCAACTGGGGAGCAGGTATCCCCAACTCGTGGGCCTGTGGGGATTTCACTCAAACCCAAGCAGCTGGGAAGGATGGAAATGCTGGCTTTTGGGAACAGTCTCCTGGGGTCTTTGGCAGGAGACAGATGAGGCCCATCGTCAGCAGGAGGTCTGAGCCCAGACCCAAGTGCCTGGCCCCTGCCTACATTAGGAGAAAGTATATGGCCCTTGCTTTGTTGGAAGGCGTTGGCACATTTTTTTTCCACAGGCACGTTCCTGGCTTTAAGGGCCTGGTGGTGTTTATTTGGTGGAAGGCAGGTATGAAGGGCAGACAGGAGAGCCTGGCAGCTTGCTGGGGGCAGGGGTAGGGGGTGGTGTTTGTCACCACCACTTAGTGCTCTTTCTTATACCAGTGTCCCCAAGCCCTCTCTTGGGTGATCTGTGAGCTGCTTGCCTCCTGTTGGCCCTGACTCTCCCCTAGAATAATCACCGGTCCCTGTGGCAGTAACTACTGTATCACACTCTGCTGCTCAGACCTTGTGTTACGTCTGTGTCCAAAGCAGAGGGATCCTCACATCTGTTGTTTACACTGTACGTGTGTAGATGAGCAAACGAGTAAAAACTGAATAGTTCAGCAGCTGTCAAAATGCTGACAGAAGCCCAGTCAGACCCAAGGCATACACTTCTA